TATATATATATAATGCTTTGCATCATAAGATTTGTTATTGTATGCAGCTAGGGTTGTGGTAGACAGCATTGCCAGGCCTTGCCCTCAATTGCGGCAGTACAGATTGATCTAGGGCACATCCCCTGCCTGCTAATTGGACAATGAAGGAACAGTAGCAAGGTGATGGATGAAGTCATTCTTGTGCTCTCTCATCCTGTCAGCAGATGTGCCCTGCAGCAGACTGAGAAAAAACAGTTAGTGTACAGCCAAGCTTAGTTGGGAAAGGTGGTTAAACTGTGCACATGGAGGAATTTGTCTAGAGGGTTAACGTAAGACACGACGGAGATGTGAATTTATGATTTTTGCCTAGAATTCTGCTTTAATTATTTCAATGGATGATTTTAATGGATATGTAACTACATTAATTGATACTTTGTTCAGATTTTAAAGCACAACTCCGGAGAAAATTTTTCTTAACCCTTCCAGTGGGGCTACCCCACACAGACTACACCTCTACGGGGCCTTACATTTACAGTTGCCTGGCCACTTCTTAAAGGAGAACTATGGGGTTAAGACTTTTCCCCATAGTTCACCTTAGGGTAACGGGAGGACACAAACTAGCGTCCTCCCGTCACCCTAGGCTCAGTATACCATTGACGAGTGAAGGCTTGCCAGAATTTGCGTACCAGAATAGAGCACCTTGCTTGTCCTAAAAAAACAGTATTAATTGTCAGCAAGGTAGACCTACAGACCAACAGCATATTAAGCTAGATAGACAAAGGGACCTATACAAAACAAGTTTGTTGGGCTTCAACTTTTATCCTTTACTAATATTGAAACAAAGTAACTGGTTGGTCATTGTGGGCATTTTTATTCATGCCTTTTAAAGAACAGCTCCAGGAGTTAACAAACTTAACCCTTGCAGTGGGGCTACCCCAGCACTGCCAGAGTTGACTGCTTGGTTTGGTAGAGGGGCTGGATTAAAGAAGAAATACTCACCAAATCCTCAATCCAGCCCGGCTACTAGACCGGTCCCCTTAGCCTCTTCTCTACCGGGCTCCAGTGGTTTACGCCTGCTATTGACTATAACTGCTTTGCAGGTTCCACTGTCTGCTCCTTGGGTTATAAAAGCAAATTAACACTGCTAAAGTCAAACTATGCTCCTCCCACCCCAGCACCCAGGGCATAAAAACATATTCAATTAATAGCACTGGGCAGTGCAGTAGCACCTGGTCAGTTCACAGCACTTAAGCTTTCACTACAACAATACATACATTTCAGACAATTATATTAGCAGTATTTTATTTTCATATAAAAATCGTGTAATTATTAATGGTAAAAACATAACGGAATTAATTTATTTTAAATATTTGACTGCAATACCCTATAAAAAATAGTTGTTGGGCAAAGCTTTAATGATGAATATGAGGTGGTTAAAGAGAATTTCCCAGTTACATGAGAAGGCTGCATTTCACCAAATCCACTCTGTGTGGTCCCAACCATATTATGGGTTTCTTCTGATATAAATGGAAAAGGCTTTAAACTTTAGGCGCTTATGCCAATTCTTGAGACATTCTGGCTCCAGGGATTATTTTAGTCCTTCTGAAGATAACATGAAACTTTCATTTAAAATGGTTCAAATGTGTCAACACGGTCTAAACTGATATTTGTTCTTTTCTTCGAAAATGCAATTCTTTAACAGAATGTGGAAACTGAACAAGAGGAGCCAAAGGACATCTCTTATTTAAAAGGGCTTTAGCACCGTAAACACCAAAATGATAACCAAAGCTTTGAAAGGGCAATAAAACTAAAGTCCACTAAAGGTCCGTTTCAGCTGCTTCATCAAAAAAGGGCAGCTGTGTGCAGAGAGAGGGAGTTTTCATGGCCCGCTATAATTGGGTGCATGCCCACTTTAGCAGAGCCCTCTGGTTCCTATGAGGTTCATAATACTCCCTGGCCAAGCCCAAAACATGGCAGTGCAGTGTGGGTCAGGTCTGTATCTGGAACTGTACAAGGATTAATTTTTTTATTTATTTAATTTTTTGGTCTGATCTTTCTTTTCTATGCTGCAACTCCATCTAGTGGACATAAGATTGGACTTTCCAAATATTGCATTCGACCTGAAAAGAAAATATACAAAAAACGTTAGTTTTTGCCTCCATTCGCACAGACCGAACGTTCAGAGATTCACAGAGTAAATAGCTACGTGAATTTGTTCATAAATAGACCCCTAGGTATAGGATTAAAAAAAAGTGGGCATTCAGTAGTAACAGTCCATGTATTTTCATCAATTACAGCACAACACTTTATTAACTGAAAGCTAATGGTGTGAAATGTTTTTAGGCTAAACATTCAGATTATTTTAAAGAAATCTCATGCAATTCTCCTTTATAGCGAGTCAGAATGGGAAGGCATGGCTTCCTTGTCAGTGCTTAGTGTTAGTGCTTAGTGTTCAGCCCCTTCACATTTCTCTCTTGTGAAGAGAGCTTACAGCTCTTTTACATACATGGGTATACAAGAAGCTATCATGTTTTTTTTGTTTTCTTTCCTTTTCTCTAACATTTACAGCCCCTTTTTTGCCAGCTAGACACTTCCCATCACAAAGGGCAATATGTTTTTCTTCCCTGGAATATAAAGAGAAACAGACAAATTAAAGTGCAGAATGTTCCACATGTTATTTTAAGTTGGCTCAGATCTTCTGTTTTGAATTTGAATGTCATGCATGAATGGACCATATTGAAGATGGCATCCAAATGATATTCTAGATAGTGAAATGTTATAGTTGGTTTTTGTCAGTCGCTCTGCTTAGTTATGTATTGTATGTGCAACATGAAAAGATCTTACAAGCCTATAGGATTTGTAGAGCATTCAAAATGAATCTAGTAATCAACATGTTCAAAACCTGCACTGTGGGACATGTGTTAACTGATATCGCTGCTCTCCTTCTGAAAAAAGCTAGTTTTCTAGAGCCAAGCATGCTGCAGGTTTGGTCAGAATAAAGTCTGAACCCCAGGTTTGCATACTTGTTTTGGGACAGTAACATAAAAGGTACTGAAGCCATTAGATCATTGTGACAGCCAGGCAACAAGGATTATGGGAAGTCAACAGTGGCAGCCTTAATATTTTTCTCAGTATGGGTTTCCTTTTTAAGAAACCATTCAGGGCAAAGTGACTGTGGCTGCTAATAACCCCTCTGCCCTCCTGTCCATGCTCCTTTATTTCCTCCTCGTTGCTCTCTAACGGGACAGGGCTTCTAGGTGTGGGGGAGCATGTAACCTCCCCTATATGACTTTGTTTGGGCCTGAGCCACCAATCGGCAGGCCCCATCCCTGTCATGTGGAAAGGGCAGTGATGTCATTCACCAGGTAAGTCCTCGACCACACAATAAAAATGAGCAGAAACAGATGTAAAATAAAATGTCCAATACACTAACAAGCTTGCTTAAAGTGCAAAGAGGAGACATGATAAACCAATCGTATTGTAGATTACTACAATCAGATTGGGTAAAGGATATATGTGCTGATCTTACTTGTATTATTTTTTTTATATGATCTGCATAGTGTAAGCTGCCCAGCACCAGCCTCTTCCTAGTCCTGCACTATGCTCCTGCACATGCAAGTCCCAAATTCTGTTGTCTTCAAAGGAAGGCCCAACTCCATGGCTTTCTGGTGGTCTGCACTGGTGTGGGTTGCCTAGTGCCAGCCTCTTCCTAGTTGTGCACCGTGCCCCCGTACATGCAAGGCCCAAACTGTCGGCTTCAAAGGAAAGCCCAACTCTACAACCTCTATTACCTATCCCCCAGGCACCTATAGTGAAGTTGTTGGTTTTCTTTTCCTCCCATTTATTTATATTGTGGTTGTCAATAATTCCTCTTTCTTGTTAGGTTGGCAAAGGACTGTCTGAAATCGGAGATTGCAAAGAACAGGAATATTTTGACAATAATGGAATTTGTCGACCCTGCAAGCAATGTGGCCCAGGCAAGGAGCTCTCTAAGGTAAAGTAGATGATAAACCACTGTTTAAAAAATGAAAGTATCACTTTGTAAAGTGGATTGTATTCACTGGGTGTAATGACCATGACCTGATCTGGCTGAAATTCCCAGAACATGACCACAGGCTTTTAATCCCTATGCATAAGGGTATGTGGGAGGGCCAGTTTACATAAGTGTAAATTACATAAAAGTTTCCGGCACCTAGCTTATCTAGCCAGTAAAGTATACTTTATTAAACCATGTTCCCACCATTCTGATAGCACAGATTGTTGTAATGTTCATTTTGTAGAAGCCATGGTACATACCAAGACCACCTCTGTTGATGATCTACTCCACTCTAATTTGCTACGACAACTAATTTGTAGTATATTGTTAAAATGAGCTTTTTGTGTTGTTTTGCCTCTTCCATGACTTTCTGTAACTGGCAAAAATTTCAAATGTATGTTCTTTGTAACAGGGGCAAACAGTACACCAGTTTATTGCAAAGTATTTAAAAAGCTTTCAGTAGTCTTCAAGCAGCTTTCTTTAAGCCTTTAAAGTAAGTTTTAGCACTATGTGAAGCACGTTAAAAGCATACCAAAGCCTGCTAGCAGCGTTTTAAAGTGACAGTCAGCGTTCTCATTAAAACTGTGTATATGATTACCAGCTGCGCTAAACGGTACTTTAAAGGCGTCAAAAAAGCTTGCCAAAAGCTCTCCATATGCGGTATTTAAAAAACTTGCTCTACACACTGCTCTGATACAATCTAAAGCCCATGTTAACAAGGCTTTAAAATGAGCCTGTACCCAGATCATGCAAACTAAAGTATTTATAGATTCTAAACAAGTAGTAAACACAATTTATTTTATTTATTTATTTATTTTTTTAAAACAAGACCTCATTTATCTCTATCTACAAGATTGTGAAGAAATTAATGTTTAACATTCACAACAAAAGCATGGTGTTTTTCTATGAGAACACATCTCTGCAGCCTGCCATCGTTCTATTGCATAACTTAAAACAATATTTAAAAATCGCTTCTTGCGTATTACTTGCACTTTCCTGGAAAAAACATTTTTCTCTAAACTGAATTTTCCTCTAGAATGCAAAGGGGGCAGGGTAGTGGTGTTTGACCTAATTACCATGTTTGTTCTGTGCTGGCAGACCTTGTAATCAGGTGTAAACTAGATATGAACAATGTCTGCCCAAAAGAGGGTTAAAGATCTAGAAGCATTGTATGCCATTGAGAGGAAGCTCAGTCTGTTCTTAGTCTTTCTATGGGGACAGTTAGGGAGTTTCCTGTCACCTCTGTATAGAGAAGCTCCAAAGGCCAACTACGCAGACACATCTAAAAAGTGAGAAATATTTTTTTAAATATATTTTTCGGTGTGCTGTGTGAATGGAAACGCATAACAAACCTAATGGGGTTTTCTCACATTTATCTACGAAAGTGTAAATACACTTTAAGTGAACGCAGTTATATAGTGCATAGATCCAATAAGCATTTATACATCAACTAATCATTTATAATCAACAGTATTACCTAAAATAAAAAGTAAAGATGTAAACTCTTGTAGCTGGAGAGTCTATTCTTTTCCTTTATTATTAAACTCTCTTGAAGGTGGTTAAAGGGAAGGGAAGTATTATCAGGGAGTGGGGTATAGGACCAGTGGAGGCTCGAGAGGGGGGCATGGGCTGGAACGGTGTTTTTGCATGGGGGTGTTTAGGAATGTCATGGGGCAGGAATGTGGGAAGGGGTACCAGGAGGGTGACTGACAGATTGCTTAGGCACCTGGGACATATACCGCATCTATTGGCCTAAATTAGCTTTATCTGAGGCTAATTATCTGAGGCTGTTTCTCAAACCTAGAGGGAAAGAAATGGGTCTAAACTTTATGATCTGGAGGGCAATCATGTCCTTGTAGGTGTGCGATATGTACTTTGATCCATGGGCAGCAAATGTGCTTGACTTTTTCCTCTTTAGTGTGAAGAGTGGCAGTAAGATCTTCCATTTTCATGATTTTACTAATATTGGCAAAGCTTAAAGTTAAGGGTGAGGTGGTGGGTTGCTTACATAGGGATGGGATACAGGCTTGGGCTGCATTTCGAAAATGTACTGTAAGAGATGATTTGTCATTTTTCAGCGGTATATATTGCTAAGGTGTAATATACAGTATATAGGGTAGTGCATTCTGTCCTGGATCCACCGAGGTGAGACGCAAGTTTAGCTTTTCATATCAGTTTGTAGATGTATTTGACGACCTTAAAGTGTGTTTCCACTTTTGCAGTAAATTTTAGAAAACCTCTCTGTATGTTATGTGTTCCCATTCACACAGCATAACGAAAATCATTTAAACAATATTTCTTACCTTTTTTTAAGATGTTTTGTTGCAGTAGGCAAAATGGTTGAATCCACGTTTTTCCAAAGTACCTTCACAGTGACTTGTCCTTTATAGAAAGGACTGAGGACAGGAATGTGTTTCTCTCATGAAAATATAATGCAGAAGCCAGGGTTATAATCTTTTAACCCTTTGTTAGGATAGGCAGTGCTCATCTCTACTCTATAACGAATAATGAACTCAGCCAGCACAGTATAGACAGGGTTAACACAAACCTCTCACAGCTCCTCCTAACATTACAAAGAGTAGAAATTTTAGCAAGTAAAAATCAATTTAAACAAGAAGAAGCATTTTAATTTGTTTTTTTAAGCTTATGTAATGTGAATACGAACAAATATAAAATTAGGTGTTATCCCATTTTGACTGCAAAAGTGGAAATACACTTTAATGAGATATATAAGAATTGGTAAGTTTAGTATTTTTGCAGTCTAGAACTAGTGAGGCCCCTTCCTCTGTTATCCCACTGATTTTAGCACTCTTCTGGCCTGGGAGCATAGCTCTGTATACTGGGGCTTACTGATGATACAGGATTTGGCAATAAGCTAAAACATCTGTTGAAACTGATATGTGATTTTAATTAGCTGGAAACAGATCATTGTTTGAGGCTACAAAATTGACATTTTTCAACTAGACAAGAAAACGACCTCACTGGAAATTGAATTGATTGTCTTCTTTTTATTTATTCTAGTAAAGCTACATCCAAAGCTAATTATTTTTTATTCCTGACTGAAGGAGAAAAAAAAAAGCAAATACTATTAATTGAATTTTTAGTGGAGGGTAATGGGGGCCAGACTTGGTGAAAAGACATACCATCATTTAGTCTTGCTTCTCCAATATTTAGACCCCATCACTATAGGTTTCCTCTGGAGACCTATTCACTTTGATGGCCTCGCAGTGAGAATTAGGTGTCAGCCACTTTGTCATTATTGTGGGGCACTCCTACACCCAAACTGAAAGGAATGGATTAAGACACTAAACGAGGAACTTTATGGTACAAATATCTAAACAGCAAGGCATCAGATGTAAGCATAATTTACACTCGGCCTGCTCCTATTTATACTACAAATATGTAATAACTTTTTTTTGTTTTGTTAATGCTTGCCCTAGGAGACCTTGTGTGTATGATAATAGCTGCAGGAGAGCAAATAGGAGGGAAGTATGCACATTACGTGACGGACCACAAGTTCACTTCAAAATGAACATCTAGGCATAAGATAGAAATACATTGTGAAAATACCATACATTCATCTTCTATAATTGTGATTATGATGTTGGTCTGTTTCCCATTTTTAAAAATGCAGACGGTCTTGTTAGTTAAATGGGATGTAGTCACATGACACTGGGAGGACATTTGCTTTACAAAACACACAACCAGCATAATCCAAGACAGCCAAGACTATCGGTTTCACCGCCGGAACTTCAGCGCTGAAGTCAGTGGCAGAAGCTGCATGTATACGTAAAATAAAAAAAAGAACCAGCAGACACCTGTGGGGCACACATCATTAGAGGTACCTAACCAATGCCCCAAGAAAGTGTTAAAACACACTTAAAGTGACAAAGTCAAAAAAAAAATTCCCTCCCCCCCATGTTAATGTTAGCACTTACCTTAAATGATGTCTCTTATTCCGATCTTCTTCTTTCCTGATGTTTTCATCTGTCCCTCCAGCGGTGCGGCGGCTCTCCGATCCAGCGCTGACTGCTCTGTCTCTCCGATCCAGTGGTGTCTGCATGTGGGTGCACCCGTCCATACACCTTGCGTCTCTGCTCGTCTCCCGGCCGAGAATCCGAACTGCGCATGCGCCCGCCCCAAGATGCTTTGCGGCCGTCGAACAGTTTCGTTTTCTCGAGCAGGAGCGCGCAAAGAAAAAAAGGCAAGTTTAATCCGCTGTTTTAGCGTTTTTTTGTTTTTTTTTTCAAACTGTTTGCCTATATCTACTGCTTGATACCAGTAGATATAGGCAAAAAAAACGGGAGGGTTTAGAACCCCTTTAAGCTTTAATTTAGAATAACACATACATTTAAATAACATGTGGGTGTTTGATAAATCTCCGTTTTGTTTGATTCTAAAGCAAACTTTTATGGCCGCGCCACTAGTTTTGCCATCATTGACAATCGCGCATTACATCATGGTAGAGTCTGGGCTGGTCTCTTAAAGATGGGTTTCATTCCACCAGTATATACCAGGCGAGTCCTCCCCCTGTGTCTCTCAATGTATAAGCAGTGCAGCTGTCCCTTAGATTCTCCAGGGAACTCTGCCAAAGAATTTGTCAGAAGATTTAAGAAGGAACAAATGCTTCTGGGGTCTGTTCAACTTCTTGTCATTTCTTTTATCTTAATCTTCCACATACCAGTTTTAAGACATTTACTACTCTACAGAGCTATCTTAATTTAGTGTACAATCGCTCATTAAAATGACGACTTCATTTAAAACAATATATTTAATCTTAGATCTAGGGTTAGTAAAGTATTTGGCAGCATTTTCAAGTAACTTTCAAGCACATGCTGCTGAATTAAAGGTGGCCATGCAGTGCTCGGATTTCGTGTTCTACTGACAGAGCTAAAATTCGAGCAGTGTGTGGCCCCTTCAGCACCACTCCATTCAACAAAAGTCGATTGATCATTCGA